GGGCAGAGGTTCAAAGAGGGTTGTGAAAAGCCATAGAGGGGAAAAAAAAACATTATTATAGCACCAATGTTTTTTTTCCCCTATTGTCATTTATGGTCTCATATCCCAACTAGTATTCCCTTCCACAAATAGCAGTTGAAACTTACTATTCCGTCAAGGAATTACTCTCCACTCTTCAATCCCATGTGTGATATAACCCCTACTCACACTTTAGCAAATCAAAAATAAATATTGAGAAAAAGAGATCGTAAAGCGAAATCTCTAGATCCTTAATCATTAGAGTAAGAATTGGCCTTAAATTTTAAGATAACCTTGATAGCACAGTCGTTCTCAAAGTTCAGTCCAGAGCAGAAGTCTGCAACTACCTGGCTGAGGACCGGTACCCGGTCCATGGCCTTTTAGGAACTGGGCCACACAGCAGGAAGTGAGTGGCAGACAAGCATAAGAAGCTTCATCTGTATTTGCAGCCACTCCCCAGGGCTAGCATCACTGCCTCAGCTCCACCTCAGATCATCAAGTATTAGACTTCCATAGGAGCACCTCATGCCAAAAAGCTTGGGGACTGCTGCTCTAGATGAGTATAGCACAGCTTCTGAAATTTAGAAATATGTAGCAGTGGCCTTTAAAGATTACCACACTGAGTTACAGGTCTGCCCATGTAAGCACAATGAGCTGTTTGTACACTCATTGAGTGTATCTTGCACATACCTATTAGGTTATCTGATACTGCAGTAGGAGTTAGTAGTAGAGATACAAAGATGAAGGTGAGGTTCCTGCCCTCACACCACGTAACAGGGCAGAACTTCTTAAGATTTCTGTTCTTATGGCAGTTGCAACCTAAATCTTAATAACGCTCTTTGACAGATATACTGTAAATTAACCAATTCCCATGATTGACCAGTAGATTTCTAGTATTCACTATTAGAAACACAATGGATATTGTAAACTTATCTTTAAGTATAATTATAAAAGTGGATTTCTTCAGTTTGTGCATTTCTGAAATAAGGCAAATTACTTTCTAAAATAATTGTCAATTTATGAAGAATTAAAGAGAACTCTTAAAACCCTTAGAATTTCTGAAATGATGGAAGTGATTTCTGGCACCGAACACATGATTAAAGGTTAGATATTTTCAACCACTACCCCTTGACCTCTTGCATATGGGAATTGGACATTAATTATAATCTCTTCAACAATGAGCATCAGAGAATTTCCAGGTTTGTAAACACATCAAGGTGCCTGGAGGGGGACATAGCAAGATAGCATGGAAGCTCTTTACCATCCCTCTTTGCCCACACCTTACCCTATTAAACTATTTCATTTGGCTGTTTCTAAATTGTATTCTAATAAACTGGTATTAACTACTTTCCTGAGTTTATTCTAGCAAATAACTGTATACCTAAAGTGAAAGGGTCATGGGAAACCCCATATAGGCAAAAGTGTGCACAGCCTGGGTTCCTCATTTTTATCTAGCATCTGAAATGGAGAACTCTTATGAGATTAAGCCCTTAATCTGTGGGGTCTATGCTAACTCAAGGAGTTAATCTCAAAACTGAATTGTCAGATTTGCCGAATTAGTTGCAGTTAGAAATACCCCACACCTCTGCAGGGACCAAAAGTTACTTTCATTTAGTTTTCAAGGTTTATTTCTAACAGTCAGCCACCATAATCAGAGGTGGATTGACTTAAAACTGATAAAAACTGATGCCATGAAACTTCCAAAACTGGGGACAACCTACTTGCATTTATTTTTTCCAGAACAATATATTCTGCAATACAAACATCTAAACCATTGAGAAGTCTTTTTCGTAGTCATAGAAATAAGATTTTCTGATTAAATTACGTTGTGAAATTGAACCAATTTTCAAAACTAGCATTTTTTGTTTTATGTGAAATATATAAAGTTCTTAGACACAAATTACTATTACGTGAAGTACATTTCTAGGTTTCTAATCTGCATATATTGACAAATTTTAAACTAAAAAAAATCTCTGGAAACACTTTTGCAAATGTGCACTAAAATATTGTTTTTTATGGAAGAATCATACACTAATTTTTATAACTGAGAAATCTGTATTTCATTCTTAAAAATTTCAATTCCCTGGTATGTTATAGGTACAAACATTCAGATCCCAACCACATTTCAAATGTTGTAGGGAAGCCTGATTTTAAATAATCTAACTTCTTGTCAGTGCAAATTATTCTCGAAATGTCAATGTCCTGAAGAATTTTTGACCCTAAGGCTAAATTACAAAATTGAAGTCTTTGTGCCCAATTTTAGCAAAAATCCTAAATCATCTTAGCCAGAATCCCATCCTAAATATCTGATTACTCTAAGACAGTGAGATTCTTCATTCCCTGTCCATTCTCCACCCCACCATAGGTATGTAACAACCTCAACTTGCCTTCTCCAAGGGTCGTGTTAGGTTACTCAGCAATCCCCTACCCTTATACCAATTGTCCTTCCTATTAGCAATTTTCCAGTCCTGGACCTCAACTTATTTCTTGGCTATAAATTCCCACTAATTCATACTCCATTCAATCCAGAACACAATTGACTAGATGTAACACTGAGTGAAAGATACTGTAAAATATAAACGATAATTTAATTTACAAAAGTTAAATAACAGGTAAGTCAGGATACTGCTTACCTTTTAACAGTGATGGAAAGTTTGTTGCAATGCAAGAGGACACTGAAGTTGACCTCCTTAAAAGTTTTTTCACAGTAAACATGTCAAGCTGCTTTGGCTCTTATACACTAATTGGTAGTAGCTGCCTATATTGGTGTGTGGAAATAATGTATTATTAGCCAACAGAAGGAATGGAAGTTGGAGACTGGGTACCTATGCTATTTCTACTATAACTGACCTGTTCCAATTAACATTTGTTCCTTAAATAGATCAATACTACATGCTACACAAGCCTTTGAGATTTGTAATAAAAACCCTGCTCCTATATCTCAACCTTATACCACCCATTATTCAAGTACTGATGGCACAGTACTTCTTGCTTCATGAAGAGGAGGTATTTCACACACAGCTTTGATAGATAACAGATACGTGATTTCCAATCTTTTAGGTTCGAAGCACATTTCATTTCTACCTCTCTTATTAAGTCACAACCGACAGCAAAAAGATTTAACTTTTTATTTTAGTAAAATCAGAATACAGCACATGCAGTGCTAGCATCTAAAACTAATACAATAAGCAATTACTGAACTTTTGGTGACTTGAGGTTCAATGTCTACATTCAGCAAGTTTAAATCCATCCTTATTTACGGAAAATACTGCTGGCTGATAAAAATGAACGTAAAAGTCACTTTTATGGCAATATACAAAGCTAACCACATGTTTGAAGGCTGCAAATATGCTAGACAGTTAATAAAAACAAAACACATAACGAAACAAACCTCAGAGAATCTTTGATAATGTGTACACTTCCATAAGTGCTTAGAAGTATGTCATTAATATTTTAAGACAAGTGTATCAAAACCTTGGCATGTTTTAATTTCAAGTTGCCAATTTTGTCTTACATTTTTGTCAGAAAGTACAGCTAGCTATATTGCCAGTGCCGGGTCTGGTTAATTGGACTTAAATTTAATAAGACTTACATTAAAAGCTCACACTACCCCGAAATATATTATTCACATATGGTGACATTCAACATTTAAGTGCCAGTGTTTTTGTACTGTCTTTTGGTCAAGTTTCTTTAAACTTTCAAAGAATCACTTTTAGGCTTACAAAAATAAATATTTGTCAAAATGTTCAATAAATATTACACAAACTAGCAGCAAAAAGTATCTAAAATCTGTCATGTGCAAATTGTTTCTTCCCAACTATCATTCTGTGGTCCGTGTGTGTGTGTGACCAACACACAAGATATATATATATATATGTATATATAAAATTCTCTGAATGTGCAATAAAATAAGTACTTTGTAAAAAGTTATGGGCAAAATGTACAAGAGCCTAAACCTATACTAATTGAAATAGCACCATAACAAATGACCTCAATACTGTCAAGTGCACCTACTTAATAAAGTTATAGAACAAGGCACAATATGCTTGAAAATCTATTGCACTTTTAAGAAAATTTTGCTTTTTTATGACATAAGATTAGTTTGTAAAGATCACTGCATTCTGCCCACAAAATAAGCATAAAATTCCAAGTGGCAGAATCATTGTTAGTGGTGGACAATCATCTTTGGCCAAATTTAGCATCAAGAGACTGTAAATACAATGAAAACCTTTGCGACTAAAATATAACTAAACTGCACTATATAAAATGACACCTTATGCAGTTTAGTACATAGTTCTAATTTGTGTGATGTCAAGAATTTGTTCTCTGATTTATGAAGTCTACAAGTGTAAGCCATTTTAACATTTCAACGCAGCTTAAACAGAGTAATGTAAATAGTCATTAAAATAAAGCCTGCTGTATAACCTTCCTGCTGGTATCCTCTTGACCAAAAAACATTAACACTAGCATGCATGAAGACCAAAACGCAAACAGGCCCATGAAGAGGACCATTAGTTGCCATGGTCTCATTCTACCTTTTCATGTATGGCAGGCATTAAAATAACAAAATTAGATAAAAATTTACCCCAAACTTTTTCAACAAACTTTTAAACTTTCGCTGTTAATAGTATGCCCATATTTACCTAGCTTAGAATTAGTAACATTAAGAGAGGAATTGCTCCATTTACTTTTATTAACTCTGAAGAGTGCTTTGAAAAATGCAAGGATGTATCACTCATGCCATCTCATCATGACTGGAATGGCATATTTAAAAGCTATAAGGATAGAGTGAGCAAGTCAGAACTTTAACATAGTAGTTTGCCACATTATAAACCAATTACACTTTAAGATGTTTTTCTCCCCAGTCTGTTATGTATCAGAAAGTCCTAACACAGGCTACTGCCTAATAATTTCCCTTAAACTATTTATTGATAAATTGAGGACTCCTGTTTTGTTAAGTTGTATCACACCATTTGCCAAGGTTCGATTTTAGCCTGAGTTCAGCAAATTTATTTTGTCAAAGCAATTGGTATCTTGAGCATTACTGAGCCAACAGGACAACAAAACAATAAGTTGTCTAAAGTTAAAGTCACAGTACATTAACAAACAAATGATTCTCAAGTTGTAAAATTATAAATGCAGTTTGGGATGGGAAATAAACAGGAGAAGAGTTAATCCAAACTACAGCACTTAAGTCTTCAGCTTCTGAAAAGGGCTTGTTGATTGTTCTTTCTTGTAACTGTGAGCTCCTGTGAATTTTCAGAATCAGAGCTGGTAATGTACTGCAAGTTCTTGAAGCTAAACATTATAGTCTAAGTTACATGTGGTTTCTGTATTAACTTGTTTTGATTTGAAAGGGTTGACTTTGCTGCAAAGCAGGTTCAGTTGCCCCACCAGTCAACCCCCTGGGAGTTGTAATTTCCTCCATATCCATCACTATTGTAGAAGCTTCCATAGCCACCTATCAAGAAATGTTTAAAAAGAGAAAATAGGTCAGCCTAAGTATCTTTTTTTCCCTTCTTTCTCAAATACTTTGATATAAGCCTAATAAAATAAATCTATATTAAATTTTGTGCTTTGAAAATAAAATTTCTTAAATTATGTATTAAAAGAAAACTTTTCCAAAATATAAAAAAGGAAAATTAACATTACCTCCACCAAATCCTCTGCTGCTGCCATGACCACCTCCACCACTGCGGCTGCTGCTTGAACGACTACTACTAAAACTAGAACTGCTGGAACCACTACTTTGTCGATAGTCTCTGGCACCAAATCCTCCACTGAATCTACTAATATAAAGAAAGACATCTCAGTTGTTTACAAGTATGATATTCAATTAAATTACAATTCCTATACATAACTTCTCAAACCTCAATTTCTGATTTCTCAACTCAATTTCCATTGCAGTGAATTCCTCTTATGTTTCAAAAGGCCTCAGTAGTTAATAGCTGACATTTAACTCCATGTCACCTTAATAATATCCCTTGCCCAAATCAGAGGCAGTTTTTTAGTAAACCTTGAAAATAACTTCCTACGCAAAGCAAACAGTAAAGAATAAAGGCTCAAAAACAATCTGTACCTCTTAGAACGTCCACGACTGCTACCCTTATAGTGGTGTTCATAAGCCATATTTTCTAACCAAGATGGCACTTCTTGTTTAGCTTCAACAAGAAGATCCAACAAATCTTTTGTGATATTTACATTTCTTTCATTAAAGAATGAGGTCGCAAGGCCTATAAGAGTCCAAAAAAGTACATTTAGTTTGTTGCCAAAAAGTATCTTGCTATTCTTACTTTAATATTTAGAACACAAAAATTTAACATAATTTGCACTGTAACCAACTTAGGAGATTGAAACAAAACCTTTTAATTGTCTCACAGCTGATGTCAGATTTCCCTTTGAAAATAAAGATTATAATTTAACATTCTGTGTCAAATAATCAAACTAAACACTTTACCAAGGTTTCCTACACGTCCCGTACGGCCAATCCGGTGTACGTATTCTTCAATATCACTTGGCAAATCAAAATTGATAACATGTTTCACATTTGAAATGTCTAGTCCTCTTGCCGCCACCTGAAAAATAACTTTTGTTAAAAAAAAAAAAAAAGCAATATTTAAACATGCTTAACTTAAAAATAAAAATATACATACAGCTGTAGCCACTAGAATTGGGCTTTTTCCTGATCGGAACTGGTGAAGGGCTTCCTCTCTATCTCTCTGTGATCGGTCTCCATGGATGCTGGTACAAGCATAGCCTTCGTGGTATAAGAAATCCTCCAGAGAATCAGCACCCTTTTTGGTCTCCACAAACACTAAAGTCAGTGAGTCTTTCCCTGGAAAATTATATATAAGGTTTAATTACTGACAGCAAATTAGCATCAATGACTGATCTAATTGGTGACTGGCTTAGTTGAACACGTAAGCTCATCAAAGTAAGCTTTAAGGCTTTGGTGAGCAAAAAGGCAGGGCAGGGGTTAGGGATCCAAATGCATTCTCCTTACTCGTGACACACTATTACTATTTACGTTTTTACCTGTTGCATTTAAGAGATCAAGAAGAAATGACCGTTTGTCTGACTCTTCCACCCAAACTACTTTTTGTGTGATGTTCTCAGAGGTGGAACCAACCCTGCCTACAGCCAGAAAGATATATTCATCCAAGAAATCACGAGCAAGCATCTAAAAAAGAAAAGAAACTCTAACTTATTATCTACTTAAATTTTTCTAATTAACTGAAGATAATTGATTACTTATATACACATATTCTAAAAAGATTTATATAAAAAAATACCTGTATTTCCTTAGGAAAAGTAGCACTAAACATCATTGTGTGGCGAACACCTTTTGGTGGGATAGTAT